TTTCCTTCATTTCTTCAGGCAATGGACGTTTCACTTATTTTTCTCTCTCTGGGTGATGATTCAATATGGAAAAGCATTCTGACCAAGAGATGAACATGGTTTCCACTCTAATATTTACTTTGGAATTGTGAATGAGGGTGCCGGCTTTCCTACCCCAGGAAGACACAGCGCCATCCCCACTATGGAACCAGAGCCAAGCCCTGCACACCGCCAAGTGGGTGTAGTATGGGGAGAAGGATGGGATGGATGGCTCCCCAGGTGGACAAGCTGTCACTGGTATCGACTGAAAAAGAAGTTTTCACTGGAAAACTGGAAGACCTTTCATATAAGTGCAGTAAAAGAAGAGTGCAGTGATGTGGGCCATATGTCTGCATTGATGGCCCAAGTCCAGTCATTGTTACCTATCGAGTTAGGACATGGTTCTGCTGGTGGCGCAGGAGAGTAAACTCACGGCCCCACAGGGAAATGGTAAGATCAAGTTCAAAGATGGGCTCTTCTTGGGAACATGGATGTGGCCAGCAGATTGAGACAAATTCTTTCTCTTGGTTTGACATGAAAGTCAAAGTTCTTGAGAATACCCAGGGGTAAGAGGTAGATATAAACGTGAAAAAAGGGCAGAAATGGACAAGGTGCAGACCGAGGCTGCCGTCGCAGGCCTTGGGGCTGAAGAAACCCACATAGGACAGGACCTGAGAATCCTGGAGGAGCATGTTTGCTGTGGAAAGAATTTCATTCTCAATTTCTTTTTATGTGGGGGGAGGTTTTTGCTATAGGGCACTTGGCGCTCACCAGGCAGACAGAGACAGAGAGACAGAAAGCGAGTAATCACCCTTTCCAGGGGGGATGGTCATGCCACAATTCCTTCTCCTTCAGTCTCCTCTCGGGATCTTGGGCACGCACGCACATGTGACTGGCATGAGTTTTAAGCCACTGGGTCCGGGACTCGAACCGCAGTCGACTACGTGGGAGTCCAGTGACATAGCCATTATGCTAATTTTTTTTTTTTTTTTAATTGCTAGAGAGTGTGTGTGCTCACGAGAAAGAGAATGAGAGGGAAAGCACCCTCTAGTTGGGCATGGTCGCACTGCAATCTCTTCTCTATTTCTCCATCCTGTTGAGATTTGGGGCATGCGTGCACAAATGTCTAGTATGTCCCTCAAGCTGCCAGGGCTAGGGTTCAAACCTCAGTCAGCCATGTGGGATCCTGCTCCCTTAACCATTGAGCTACAGGGCTAGCCCTCCCAGTGTTCTTATTTCCCTTTTATTTCCTTTAGGACCTTTTAGCTTATCTCAGATGTAACAAGGAGAACCAATGAGTTGGAATGATTTGTTGGAATGTGTGTGGTAAAGGGAGAGCAGGAATCATAGTGGATCAACCAGTCATCCAGGAGAGAGAAACCCTTGAGGTCAAGAAAATGGTTAAGAGAACGAAGGCCAGCTAGGCCCTGAAGAAACCCTGACCTTCTGTACTTGGCTTTATATGGAGGGGCTGTTTCTTAGTAGAAGATATTGCTCATCTTCCTGCTTGGTCTTAGATGCTGTATTTCTCTTGATCAGTCTGAGCTGACTGGAACAGTTTCATTTCCCAAGCTCCTTTGCTCTCTGACATCAGTCTGGGTTCGGCCTGGTGATGGTGGCCTGGCAGGAGACTGGAGGGTAGAAGGAGGGAGTAGCCCAGGTATGTCCTCCCCTGCCCTCTCTGTTTGGGATTACATTCCTAGAACGGGATATATCTCTTCTGTGGTCTGTCTTCCAGCTGGGGACCCCCCACCCGGGGAACTGGGAACACTTCTTTCTGTTCCTTAGCTCTAGTGGTTGTCATAGCCTCAGTCTTTGGGTTTGTCTCACCACCTCTGAGCTGCCCTTTCTGTTCTCCTGTACCTTATAGCTGGTTTCCAAATAAAACCCCTCAACTGAACTCCCTTTAGTGGATTTTATTTTCCTCACTGAACTCTGACTGATCAAATCATCTTAAAAACATGCGCTCAAAAGTTTAGAAACTACCTCCTTGGCCAGACTCAAAGGCATATCTGCCTAATATTCTATTCTATATTCTAATCTATTCTATTCTGTATTTTATATTCTATTCTATTTTCTATTCTGTTCTGTTCTATTCTATTGACAAAAATAGTTTGTTTAAAAAACACATTATATAGCACTTTACAGTTTATAAACTATTTTCTCATACATTGTGTAGTCTGAGTTGGGTAAGAACCCTTGTGAGACAGGCAGTAGAAGAAACAGACATGCCTACACTTACACAGCTGGTAGTAGCAGTAGAATGAGAGGGGATATTGAGCCGGAATCCCCTGTCTCAAAGCCCTATGGTTAAAATGACAAATTTTTAAATAGCTAATATGAAAAAAATTTAGTAATAAGAGAAACCATTCCTGAAGCTTATATTAAGTTTCTTCAAGGCATATTTTATTATTTTTTCTTTGTTGCCTTTTTTTTTGGAGAGGTTTTTTGCTATAGGGCACATGCGCTCGCCAGACAGACAGAGAGAGACAGAGAGACAGAAAGTGAGAAATCACCCCCCAGGGGGGATGGCCATGCCTCAATCCCTTCTCCTCCCTTCTCCTCTCGGGATCTCGGGGACGCATGCACACGCGCCCGGCGTGAGTTTTAAGCCACCGGGTCCAGGACACGAACCGTGGTCGACTACATGGGAGTCCAGCGACATAGCCATTATGCTAACTGCTGGTCCCTCTTTGTTGCCTTTTTTATGTTGGTTCAGATATGAATATAAATATAGGCCATTGAATTTATTTTTAAAAAAATATCAAAATAGTGAAAACAGTTCTGGAAATAGGGCTATAGTAAAAACAAAACAAAACAAAACAACCTGCAAGTAAGATGGCAAAAAAAATGACATACAGCATGTTGACATCTTCTTACACACCACATATACTTACATGCATGCATTAAAAATATGCTCGATAGGCTATGTCGCTGGACTCCCACGTAGTCGACCGCAGTTCATGTCCCGGACCCGGTGGCTTAAAACTCATGCCGGGCACGTGTGCGTGCTTGCCCAGGATCCCAAGAGGAGAATGGAGAAGGGATTGCGGTGTGACCATCCCTCCTGGGGGGTGACTTCTCGCTTTCTCTCTCTATGTCTCTCTCTGTCTGTCTGGCAAGCGCATGCGCCCTATAGCTAAAATCTCTCCAAAAAAAAAAATATATGCTCGATAGTGTAGAATACCTTAATCTATGACTATAGTTCATGATTTATCATGACTTATAACAACGTCTTTTGGTCTATTTGCATATTGGTAAATATTAGTCAAATTGCACAGCCAAATGACCATCTTTTATTTTCTATTTTTAAACTGTTTGAAATGTGGCTCATAATTCAAGGATACATGTAGGTGATGCAATATATCCTAATTCCTTACATATCATTTTATTGTTAACTAATTTAGCTAATCACTAACATGAAATCTATACGTCTGGGAGAACACATCACAGTTAACAATTCACCATTCCAGATTCTGTCCCTATGTCCTTGCTGAGTCTCTTTCATTTGAAATGCACACTCGTCCCTTTTGCCCCCCATAACCACTTGGTGGCTTTCCATGGTCGAATGTGGCCCTGTAATGGAGATGCATTGTCAGCCTCTGGGGAGGAAAGCTGGCACCCTCTTAGGACCAGTGGTCACTGGATCAGGGTTGACATAGCACATTTACTGGAAAATGATCGGAAAACCCTACTCCAGCTGTTTTTGCAATGTGCTGCTCAAAATAAACTCTTCCTCCTCTGATTGGGATTGAGCTGGGTCAGCACGAGCCACCCACCACCATCCTTTTTTTTTTTTTTTTTCCCCTTGGTATAGGTTTTTGCCTTAGAGTGTGTGCACTCTCCAGGGAGAGAGAAAGAGACAGTGAGAGGGAGAGGGAGAAATCACCCCCCCAGGGGGGAATGGCCATGCCTCAATCCCTTCTCCTCCATCCTTTTTCCGGGATCTTGGGCATGCACACACATGTGCCTAGCTTGAGTTTCAAGCTACCTTTACGGGTCTCGAGCCACAGTCAGCCATATGGGAGTCCAGTGATGTAACTGCTACACCAAGAACTGGCTCCCACCACCATCATGTTTAAGTGCATGCTTCCACAGCCCCAGCTGAGCCAGATCATAGTGGCACAGTCCCTGCAGGCCTGTGAGGGGGTGTGCTCATACTTTTCCCAACGTCAGCTGTCCTTACCGATGGCATGCTCCAGCCTTGTCAGTCTGGTCACCCACTGGTGACCCACTCACTTAGGACCTATATTTAAGTACAATTGGCAATGGAATGACTACTTGTTTCCATGGTTCTCCAACCAAAAAGGTTCCTCTGAGAGGCTAGGGTGCCGTTCAGACATTGGCTAATTAGCACTGTGTCCGCATTGCAGAAAATAATCAGTGACACTCAGCATTTTCACAAGATAATTTGGTCACATCCTGAATACTCTTCTGGGTGAGTCAGAGAGAAGAAAAGACACAAAAAGAAGCCAGAGCTTGATTTGGATTAAGTTTAGGGGTATTATTTCACACCTTTAGCCTCACTGATGAAGAGAAAATCATTAGCAAGATCCCATGGTGCTGGAGTGTTGAGAGAAACAGAGAAAAATTCTTGTCCCTTTGCATTACCATCTGTTTAAAAACCAGTTGGTTAGTTTTAAAACATTCATGTCAAATTCCTTAAACTTTTCCTGCAACATTGAAAGGATCTTTTGATGTGTTAAAATTTGAATCTTTGAGTATTACTTATTAATGTCAGCTGATTTGGAAGGCCATGACTGGCTATTGGTTTTCTCAAAAAAAAAAAAAAAAAAAAACATTTTCGATGTTCCTTAAAAGGCAACATGGTAGGCCAGCTGGTTCCTTGGTGGTTAAGGTGAATGCACCCCACATTCTGACTGTGTAGTTCAAATCCCAGACCCGGTGCTTGAAAAACACACTGGGGCATGTGCGTGTGTGCCCAGGATCCCAAGAGGAGAATGGAGGAGAGGGGGCTGTGGTGTGGCCATCCCCACTGGGAGGTGATTTCTTACTTTCCTGTTCTCTCTCTCTCTCTCTCTCCCTCTCTCTCACAGGCAAAGCACACCTCTCCATAGCAAATTTTTTTTAAAAGGCAACCTGGTGATATCTTTAATTCAGCACTTGTTGATCAAAGGCCTCCTTGGTGACATGCATTTGTGGTAAGTGCTGGCGGCTATTTTCTACTTATTTGATGCTTACCGTAAATGAACTAGGCAAATGCTACAATTGTGAGTAGACATGGCTTAGAAGGAAAATAGGCAGCAAGAGATCATATGAAGCATAAATGAATTTGTAAACGCTTACGGGTGCCGCCCAGGTCACGCTGAAAAGGAACAATCCCACACAGACGACCTGCATCTCTGAGAATCTCTGTGAAAAGACAACAGCATTTTACCCTAAAGTATTACCTAAGATGAACTGCAGGAAGATAGTCATTTATTTCTTCTTGTTTTATATATGTATATGTGTGTGTGTGTGTGTATATATATATATATATATATCTATCTCACTTAAGTATATATAATCTCAGAATTATACACATATATAGGAAATTTCATAGAAAATGGAATTAAAGTACAAGTTTATTTTGGTGCAAAAATATTTTAATCTCATGCAGTTTTTCATGATAAATATTTTGCATGAACTTTTTGAAGACCATATAAACAGATAGATATAATACTTACATTTATATAAAAGTATTTATTATTTATTTATAGCAAAGTGTGGATATTTTAAACTAAATGCTTATATATAGGTATATTCCAATGCAAAAATGAGAATTATTTGATATTATTAAAAGGATAACATAAGTTTTAGAATGGATTTTATAAATACATAGTTATTTGCTCTATTATCAGTCCTAACGTTTCCTTTTTGTCTTTAGAATGAGCTCACTTAATTATTTGTATAATTCAGTGACATTCAGTTAATGAAGCAGTTTATAGCAGGCTCCTTAAGTCCATCAGAGTACAGACTCTATTGTGGGGAATGGAGTCTTTCCTGTTTCCGGGCTGGTACCCCAATATTTATCCTCATACTCACTAGCAATATCTGAATTAGTGGGCATCTGTTGGCTGGAGAGTGACACAATTTATGTAAAACTTATGTTAATAGTTAACATTTATTGCATATTAAAATAAGCCAACTTCTGTTCTTAGCATTGTACATTTATTCCATTATTTGAGTTAGGTGACATTACTGTGAGTTAGGTGACATTACTATGCCTTTTTATAGATGAGGAAATAGACACAGGAAGGTTAAATGACTTGCCCCAGAATATGCAGTCATTAAAGGGGTAGAACTGGGATTAGTACTGACTTAATGTAACTGCAGAGCTAGCACTCTTAATCAAGACTACACCACCAAACAAAATAAATTTGTGTTGTTTTGTCTGATTACAGAAAAATCGACAAGTAGTTGACTTAAAGGCAAATTGTGTTTCATACTGAGCTCAATCAAAGGTTTACAACTTACATTTAGTTACAGGTAAAGGTACATGTTTATACTTTGGTAAACATACTAATGAAATCTAGTAGCTCTCTTAAGTAGCCTTTACATTGTAAATAAAAAGTCAAAGTGGTTTTAGATGACTAATCTGCTAGTTCTGGTGAACGTTAACTATTTCTCTAACTGCCGCACAGGTCAATAGCAAACAATATGAAAATAACACATGTGTACCACTTTTTGAGACTTTTTAATGAGAAAATTAATCAAAATATTCTTATAATCTTAAAACATTTCAAGGTAAAAACATTTACTTGGAGGAATAAATATAGCTATTAACTATATTCTAAAATCTCAGGCTTCTAGACTAATAAAATATTAAGGTTCTTAACCTAACTTTAATTTAGTCTTTCAAGCTTTTTATAGACCAGTACAATATAAGGCACTTATCAAATGACTTTATGCTAATTCGTAGAAACATCAACACAGACAAGGTTTGTGAGCATGAATATGATCAGATTCTCCTGATTCTGGTTTGTAAGGAAAGGGACGGAGTAAAATTAGTCATTCAGTTACTGTTGAGCTTGATCGTGATGTTAGCTGATAGAAGAGAAAGTTGCTACCATGCCATCAATTTTAGTTGATGTTATCTACAACTATCTACTTATTTTATAAAACAAAGCACTAAATATTACACAGTTGTGTTTAGTAGAGAATATTTTCAATTTCCATTTATTGTCAAAAGCCATAGCCTTACCTGGGTTGCAAAGCTAAACAATTACAATAGAGAGCTATTTGCTGTCAAGACCAAGAGAGCCAAATTACCTGTTATCTTTTAGCTTCTGAAGACCCAGCTTCTTCTGCAGGTTACCAGTCTGGGCATTTTGCTGAAATTTAAAGTTACTTGGAGTACCTGACGGCCAATCAGCACTGGCTCACTTAGCACTAGCAAACAATTTTTGTTACAAGCGCCCACAGATAACCATAGGGGGCGAAGTAATTTTAATCTAAAAATGTTTTCGTGGTGGAAAGCTGCTATCAAATGTTCCAGAAAGTGGGATAAACAGACAATATAAATACCTCAGTTGGGACATCATGTTGTCAGATAATTAGAATTGATTTTGGAGCTATTAATTAGAACTGACTTAACACCTAGATGTTTATAGGTAGAAAACATGTTTGCTATCCTTTCAGGTAGAAAGTTCATCATCTCAATTTTGTCTGAATAAAATTCAGCAACATTTAACAAAAATGTTTTGAGTACCTACTACGTGCCAGGCATGGAGGAAATGGTAGTGAACAAAACATGTAGAAAAACATCCCTGTCTCTATGGAGCTTAGGAGGTAGACAGACAATAAACAAGACAGACAAGTGAAAATGTAGTATATTAGATAGTGACATAGACTAAATATAAGGAGAAAAATTATTGTAGGG